ATTACTTAACACTGAAGAAGAGGTTGGCCCCAAGAAGAGGAGGTTGGTTACACAAACCCAGCAGCAGTAAGGTACCAGGCACAACAAGACAGGAAAACTGCCTTAATTAGGGAAAATGTACTGCTGGCTGCAGGGCTTTTTGCTTCCTGCACTTCCAGGACCTGGCTGCTGGAGGATCCTGTTATCTCAGCAACTATTGCTAATGACTGAGGCTCTGCTTGCCACATCCTTGTGCAGCTGCTGTGGATTTAAAGACATCCACGTCATTCCTAAAGGCAGCGTCAGCCTGGGGTCTCAGCCCAATGCTGAAAAATTCTGTGGGGGTCACTAATTAGCCAAGTTGTGCAGGGTGGGACAGTGTGCAGGAAAGCCTCTAACAAGTAATTTAAAAAGCTGATGAATGCACCAAGAGCACCATCATTTAATTGTGTTACTTTGTGATGATGTGCTGTAGGTGCACTTTTCCAAAGGGCAGGGAGCAGAGACCCCAAGCTGTCCCCTCTCAACCAAGCAGCCCAGAGCTATGCAGAATAGATTGAAGCCTGTCCAAGACTGGTCTAAAAATATTCAGCAATTCCTGCATTTTGAGAGAAAATTAGGGGTTTGGCAGGGAGAAGTTTGTCGGCATTTCTCTGGAAAGTTTTGTCTGCATGAAGAGAGGAACACGTGTCCAGCTGAGGTCTTGAGGGCAATGTGAGGAACAGGAGATTTTCAGCTGGGGTGATTCTCCTCCACCCCAGAGGGTCTCACTCTCATGTCCATTTGGAGGTAATTTATGGGGATTCCTACCTCATAAAAAGCTGCATGTCACAGACTCATGGAATCATTCAGGTTGGAAAAGCCCTGTAAGCCCCTGAGTCCAAGCATCCCCCAGCACTGCCACCATGTTCCCACTAACCACGTCCCCAGTGCCACATCCAGGGATGAGGACTCGACCACTGCCTTGGGCAGCCTGTTCCCACCTGACCACCCTTTCAGTGAAAGATTTTTCCCTAATATCCCAACTACACCTCCCTAGTGCACCTTGAGGCCTTTTCCATCCAGCTCCCTGCTCCTATGGGCTTGAGCTGTCCTGGATCCCTTCTTCATCATTTCAATCTTCTTGGGCATGTGTGGGTTAACTTCATTTGCTTTGCTGTCAGGAATAACCCCCCCTGCAACCCCAAACAACTCTTCCTATTTATATCCCTGCTTTAATCAGGAAGGCTAGCACTTCCATAGCTACGTGATTAAAAATTAGGAGACCAGATTCAGTAGTGGTGTCTCATAATAACAACCAATCCTGGGAGCACAGTGGATGAATAATGGATCACGGCTTCTTGCTTTCCCTCCTTTCTTCTTCTCCCCTTTTCATCTTTTCATTCTTCTCCTCCTCCTCCTCCTCCTCCTCCTCCTCCTCTGCCTCCTCTCCCAGGCTGGAGGTGGGGTGGGAAAGGAATACATCCATCCTTCATATTGCAGAATTTACAGAGACATCACTGATTCCTCTTCATCAAACCCTCCACCCCAAGCAAATTCCCTGTTAGGGAGCCTGGAGACATCAATAATTCACAGCTACCTGGAGGACTGGGTGATGAAAACCATTTACTTGGGAAGAGATAGCCAGAACCCATCCTCTCTTCACTGCCATGAGCAGCTCCTCAAGGCTGGCTGCTGATCCCATAGGGAGGAACAGGAGCAAAAATGTAAAAAATGAGGATTTCTGGCACAGGCCAGACAAGTGATTCCATGTTTGTTTGCATTATGTTCTCCCCTGTCCCATAATATCCCCTAATAGACACACTACATTGCTTTGCAGAGGAGACGTTGCTGCAGGAATTCCAGGAAAAAAAGTCAGGAATGTCAAACATCCCACCATAAAAGTTCCTTCATTAAATTCCAAGATGGTCTTCAGAGAAAGATTTGTGGGTTGTTTTTTTCCCCACTCTACAAAATGAATTTTCAATACTTTTTACAAGCAGAGGTCAAATTCAATTAATGGATTCAGTGAGGGGGAAAAAAAGCTATTGAAAAATGCCAGATTTGGTTTTAAACAGCATAAACTCATCCAATGAAATAAAATAAATAAATCTTAAAAATTAAAATTCATACTTCCTTTATAGTTAAATAAAATCAGAATGGAGCAGAATTGTTCCCATTTTCACATCTCAGTGACAGGCATTCCAACTAGCCCAAACCACAGATTTTCACTTTCTTGTTCCACTCCTTTAGCTTGAGGAAAAAAAAAAAAAAAAAAAAAAAAAAAAAAAAAAAAAAAAAAAAAAAAAAAGAGGTACATTTTGGATTCATGTAGAAAAGCTTTTTTCCCCGGTCCTTGGGTTCCACCCACTGAGCTGAAAAATCCCATTACTCCCAGCCTGGCAGCCGCCTGTGTGTCCACAGAACATCTGCAAATCCTGGGCAGGCAGCACCTGGGATTGTCAGGGACCAGAATCCCTTCCCAGTTCCCACCCCAGCCTGCCGCTGGAGATTTTAAATCCTCCTCAGCCAACCACAAGGCAGGGGCAGCTCAGGAGCAAAGCCAGGCTTGGGGATTTCAGAGGGGGCTTAGGCCAACTTTGGTTCTGAGGGAGAGCAGCACCGACTTGGAACAAAACCAGCTCCACTTTGGCTGAAAACTGTTGGACTGCACCCAACTGCATCCCCACTTCTCAGGGTCTGAGGTGCTGGAATGACCCCAAGAGTGTAAAAATCCTTGTTCTCCCAGCCAAAGAAGGAGTCTGAATGTGTAGGGTCGGCTTCTCAAGGTTGTTTATTTTTCCTTATCTAGAACATTCTTTCTCTGACCTGCTGAGCTCTGTCCAGCAAGTCAGCCATGACATTCTGCCTGTCCTCTTGCATGGTGTTTACATTTTAGACTAAAAACTACCTGTACTGTGTTTACAATAATCTATCATCTATGTTGAACAGTGTATCTCTACCTTAAACCAATAGAAAAGTGTCACCATCACAGCAAGACATGGAGGGCAAGGAGAAGGAGAAGAAGGCCAGGACATGCTCAAATCCCTCCATCTTGTCCTCCTGAACTGCATTCTAAAAACCCCAAAATTCTACTTTTTCACCGTGTGCTAATTCAAATATCACGCTACTCAAACCTTTGTGGCTTGTAATTCCTCATAAACTTGGCAACCTTTTCCACAGGCTAAAATCGAAGCCACGGGTGTTTTTGCATTCATGCCAAGGTCTCTGAGCCCCCTGCCAGGGTCTCGAGGCAACCAGGGCAGCCAGAGGGATGTGCTGGACCCCGACACCCTCTGAAGGATGATGAGGGTTGGAGAATTCTGCCACCCACTTCTGAGCGGGGTGTGAAGGAGCAATTTCCCATTTCTTGAGAATGCCTTTCATGTGTCCTTCACATTCCTGCTGGCTTCCCAGCCCCACGCCAGCCCCAGGAGCCCATCCATGGATGGATGGACAACACATCTGTCTGTAGCACAAACAGAATTTGGTTTCCCAAGGGGTATGGCTGGGAAGAGCTCAGTGCCTTTGGGCTGGAAAGGGGCTGCCAGCAGCTTTCAGCAACAAGGAAGCTCCCTGCCGTTTCCCTGGAATTATGTGAGGCATCCATGGGATTGGGGATGCTGTTAAAGAGCCAGGGAGAGGGAGGGCAGAACTCAGGTCTCTCAGAGCAGAAAAGTGCATTTGTCTTACTTAGTCAGGAACTTTTTATCTCTTGATGAAACACCCACCAATGGTCAGTAGAGCCACACTTTTCATGGTTCACCTCTGGAACGGGCTGGACTCCTCATCCCTGGGGGGATTTAAAAGCCATGTGGATGTGGCATTTGAGGACATAGTTTAGTGGTGGGCTTGGCACTGATGGGGGAATAGTTGGACTTGATCTTAAAGGCCTTTTCCAACCTAGATAATGCTCTGATTCCATGAGTAGCTGGACAAAGCTCCATCGCCAGCACAGATCCTGGGTGGAGCAGACCCATCACGGTAGCAGAGACAAAATCTCCCTGCAGGATTAAAGAACAGCCTCTCCCTCCAGCTGGATTTCCCATCTCTCACTGTTCTAGGGTGCCAGGTTCAAGAGCTGGGACCACAAGAGAAAACCAGGGGCCCCTCCTGTGCTTCTGTGCCCCTCCTGTGCTTCCCTGTTTCCACCTGTCCCTGTCTCTGCCTTCATTTTCAGCAGAGATGCCAGGGCCTTGAGATACCAGCAGAGTCCAGAGCTGCAGCCTCCCACAGGCTCTCAGGTGCCTTCAAAGGAAGACTGAGGTGTTAAATGTCTCTGTTTCCCCCTGGCTAGATCTGCATTCCCAGAGGGAGGTGCTGAGAAGCCTCCCTGTGGCAGGAGGTGACCACAACCTGCTTGTGGGGGTGACAGGGACATCAAAGAGAGCAGGGAGTGCCCCATTGCTCCGTGGCCCCTCTGGGACAGCGGGCTGCCAAGGGAGCCCTCCTCAAAGGCACCTGGAGGTCACGCTCCTGATGCCCAGAGGTTATTCCACCCTGAGTCCTACAGGTCCAAATCCAACTGCCCTTTACCCCAAAACAGCCTCACCTCCCTTCCACTGTAGTCAGAGCAGGGGTCACACCCAATCCTCTCCAATCTCTGTATCCTGTGTCCAGCAGCAGCCAGTTAGAGATCCCCAGGGAGGAAGAGAGGAGTGGGGATATTTATTTCAAGCAGAGATATTGCTCTCAAAACCACCCTCCCAGAGTTTGCAGCTCAGGGACAAGCAGAGCTTTGAGGATTTAGTAACCCTCGGTGGATTTATCTGCCACAGAGCTGATCCCTCATATTCCTGCACGGCTTGCAGCCACCTGGCCCAAGTCCCCTCAGAAGCTGCTGCTGCTGGAGTTCAAATCTGGAGCACAAGAGCAGCAAAAGGCAGGTGGCTCTAACCTGGGCACTGCCATGGCCATCCCAAACCATCTGCAGAGTCCGAGAGGCCACAGGCCAGCCCTGGCAGCTCAGCCCACAGATGACTCCAGGAAGGTGGGGTTCATGCTTCTAATGACATTGTCTCCTCTGTGCTCTTTCACTGCAGTTCCTCCAGATGACCCTGTCATTTTGGGGGGCCCCATCATCAGCCTGAGAGCAGGAGACCCCCTGAACCTGACCTGCCATGCAGACAACGCCAAGCCAGCAGCCTCCATCATCTGGATGAGGAGGGGAGAAGTCATCAATGGAGCCACCTATTCCAAGGTGAGGCAGGGTGGGGCTGCGACAAGGCCTGTGCTCCTGAAGGGGGTACCAGGCCTGACACTTGACACAACCCCAAACATTTGGGCAGCACCCTCAGCTCTGCAGAGCTCAGACTCTCACCCTGCACCCCTTCCCAGTGGGGAGGCTGGGAGGAAAACAGCAGGATGCAAGTGAGAAGCCACAATCTGTCACCAAAATGGGCTCTGCTCTGAATTTGGCTTTTTGTACCTTCTCACGGCTTGTAATTGCCTGGTGTGGCCACTTCTCCCCCATTTATCCCACCTGCGTGTGGTGTTAATGTTGTGTGCAGCAGCACTGACCCAGCCCTGGTTCTGCAGCAGAACCTCTGGATCAAAGGGGTGGTTGCAGTGACATGTGTCCCCTTTTCCAACTGCAATTTTCCATGAAAAATTGTCAGGGTTCTTGGCATTTTTTAATTTAGACAGAAAGTCTTTATTGGGTCATGAAGGAAATAATCAAAGAGCAATCAGCAGCACACTGGGAATGAGACCCCAAATGTTCTCCTGTTTATGGCCTCCTGATGGATGGTGAGTGTGAAAGATTCAGTAGCACTTGACAGTTTTAATGAAATTTTCTAAACAGCAAAATTCGAAAGCTAAAATGGGTCAGTTTGCAGCCAAAACTTCAAAGCGGGCAGCCAGAGCCATTCCTCGAGCTCCCAAAGATCTTTAATAAACATTTCATCCTCGGCTGCCACTGTGAAGCCTCCATCCAGCCCCATGCCAGCAATATCCTGATTTGCTGGGGAGAGCAGAGGGGGCAGAACATCCTCCCTGCTTCCTCCCTCTCCTCCTCCTCCTCCTGTGGTTGTGAGCTGCTTCCCTGCAGCCAGGGGTGAGCAGGGGGAACCTGCCCCACCTCCCTGCCTGCCCTGTGAGAGGCAGCACTAATTAGAGCCAGGGAGAACTGACCTCTCTCTCTCTCTCTCAAATGGAGTGGAATTAATTAAAATCCAGGCCATGGACGTGCAGTTGTTCACAGCTTATCCCCTTCACCTCCAGCCTTCCCTCCCAGGGCTGTCAGGCCCTGAGGAGACAAATTTTGAGCCCTCTCCCTTTCAGACCCACAAGCAGTGAGGAGCAGAGAAGGGGGAATGCCCACCTTTAAAATATTTCTAACAAAACACCCTTCCAAAGCAGAGTTTTCCAGGCTGCAGATTCATCTCCCACAGCACAGAGATCTCCGTGGTATTTTAAGCAGTCGGCAGGGATGGGCTGGGGGGGACCCCTGTTCTGCATGGGGGAAGCATCTTTCCCTCCTCCTGGAGTCAGGAAAACTCTGTTTCTGAGACTGAACTGCATTTCCTCCTGACTTCCTGAAGGTTTCCATGAGGCTCTTCCACATTAAAAAAGAAAATCAGCCTTTAGAAAAACTAGAAGACAATTTTAGACTTTTTTGAGTGGGAAGTTTAGGGTCTTAGAAACGTTTCCCTTTTGAAGCTCCCTTTGAAATACTTCCTCAATTTGCCTCTTTCTGCTTTTTCAAGAGAAGTGAAACCAAACCCAGCTTTCCTTTGATCCAGATATTCCAGCCAACCAAAAAAAAGTCCTGTTTGGGTTACTGACGGCCTGAAACCATTCACACTGAGTGATAATTTCTTTGTTACTCTGAATGTCCAGTCCACCAACTGATCCATTTGCAGCCCCCTGAAATCCCAGCCAGGCAGCACAGGACAGCCACAGCTGACTGAAATCCCTATTGAAGGGGAAAGGGAACGTTACAAGATCCTGCAGGGTTTGGAGGTTAACCTCAAATAGGGGAAATTTTGCACACACTTAGGGTTCACCTCCACCCCAGCACCAAAAGTGGGGCGTTCCCCAAGGGAAGAGCACACGGGGTGACAATAAATCAAGGACAGGGCAGCATCCTGCATTTGTGTTCAGAAAGGGAATGGAGCTGGGGAAGGGGCTGGAGGTCCAGGAGTGTCTGAGGGAGCTATGGGGGCTCAGCCTGGAGAAAAAGAGGCTCAGGGGAACCTTTTGGCTCTCCACAACTCCTGACAGGAATTGGGAGCTGGGCGAGGAGTCAGGCTCAGCTCCCAGGGAACAGGGACAGGAGGAGAGGAAATGGCCTCAAATTGTGCCAGGGGAGGTTTAGATGGGATATTGAGAAAATTTATTTACTGAAAAGGTATTCTGCCATTGGAACAGGCTCTCAGCATGGTGGTAGATTCCCCATCCCTGGAAGTGTTCCAAAACCTGTGGATGTGGTGGAGCGGGATGTGGTTTAGGGGGTCAGTGCTGGCAGTGCTGGGTAAATGGATGGACTCAATCTCAGAGAGCTTTTCCAGCCTTCATGACTCTGGCATTCTGGGCTGTTTGTGGTGACAGTTTCTCAGCATCATTCCTTGTCTCATGTGCTTGAGAGGCACAAAGCTGTGTGCATGAAGGCTGTGCCACCATGACCCAGGGAAAGCATTAGTCTTGGAATCAAAGAATTATTTAGGTCAGAAAAGCCCTCCAAAATCAAGTCCAACCATTCCCCCAGCTCTGCCAAGGCCACCACTAAACCATGTCCCCAAGTGCCACAGGCACACATCTTGCTGACATCTGTTTATCTCTCAGTAAAGCCCTGTCTTACACTGTGAGGAACAAACTTGAAGGATACTGACTTAGAAGGAAAAACTGCCTGGCAGGGTCCAAAATCCACAGTGGATAAACCAGAGAGAGGTCAGAGGTTGGAGAATGATTAAAAGACTGAAAACTACATGACATCTTGAGAGCTCCAAGGGCTCAGCTTATCAAAGTCAGGGTTACGGGGTGACGTGACCTCCTGTAAGAACTTGCAGGAGGATTAGGGGATGGTAAGGAAGCACTCCCAGGCTCCTGTGCTCCCAAAAGAGGCACTGCAGGGCACCACAGCTGAGGTCAGATAAATCCAGGGAAGAAGCACGGTGCCAAGGCTGAGCAGGCTGGTAACCACCTTGGTTTGAAAAGCCAGGTGCCTGCTAAGGAAGGCAGGAGCCTCCCTTGAAATGGAAAATGTAAACCTTCTCCCTCTGAATTATTATAATTTTGAAATTAAGGGGCTCTCAGGCAAAGATATAGGAGCAGGAATAGCAGTTATTTTTTACGGAAGAAAATAAAAAATAAATTAAAAATGCAGTAGTACAAAACAACCCTGCCAGAGTCAGAGCAGCCCTGTCCCCTGTGGGTCAGGGAGGTGGCTCAGCCCCATCCCAGGGGGGCTCAGCCCTCCTGCAGTGCCAGCTGTGCTTCTGCTGGAGCAGGATCTGCACAAGGGGGGAGTTTTCCTCTGGAGCTCCAGGGCTGGGGGAGATGGGCCTGGGCTCCTCTGGGAATGCAGGGGGGAGAAAGCTGCTCCTCTGGGAATGCAGGGGGAAGGAAGCTGCTCCTCTGGGAATGCAGGGGGAAGGAAGCTGCTCCCCTGGGAATGCAGAGGGAAGAAAGCTGCTCCCCTGGGAATGCAGGGGGAAGAAAGCTGCTCCTCTGGGAATGCAGGGGGAAGGAAGCTGCTCCCCTGGGAATGCAGGGGGAAGAAAGCTGCTCCTCTGGGAATGCAGGGGGCAAAGGCTGCTGTGCTGTTCCCAGGTCAGATTGGATCCAGGTAGGAATGCTTGGCTCCTCCCCTGGGCACAGCATCTCCCCATGGATGATGGAATTTTCTCAGCCATTCAGGGACACTCACTGGCCATTAACAGGAGATAATTAATTATAATAACCCATTAACAGAAGATCTCTCCTGGAAGGAGGATTGGCTGTGGAAGAGATAAAGAAAAAACTGCCCAATGAACAGCAGAGAACTGCCCCAGCTCTGACAGATGGTGAATAGAATACACAGCCCCATTTCCAACCTAAGACAAAGACAGAGTTTAGATCTCTGGCCCTCATCAGTGAACACCTGAGAGGTGATGATTTACCATAGGCTGGGCCCGACCACAGCAGCCAAGGATCCATGGCCAGGGTCTGTCTGTGCTGGCAGCTGGCACCACCTCATTGCTGTGGGAAGTGCCCAGGCAGCTTTGTGTGCTCACCTGGCAGCAGATGACAGCAGGGTCACAAAGCCACTTGCCTCTGGCTCCCTCTTTGCTGGTGGGTGAGGTGTCTCACTGGAGCTTTCCTCCCTGGCCTAGGCACAGCACGGCTGCAGGGAAGCAGATGGGAGTTAAAAGCCCAATTCCCAGGAGAAGTGCAGTGAAATTTGTCTTTGTTATTCCCCTTAAGGCTTTTGGCAGATTCCAGCCAGAGGAGTTGTTAGTGCAGGAAGCTGCTTGGTTGAGAAGCTTATTGAGCCTGGGGATGGCAAAAGGGCCCCTCTCCAGCAGGAAAGTCCTTTCTGTCAGATTATGCCCTTTTCTGACCCAGAGATGGGGCAACGGAGAGGCATTTTAAAAACTATTATTCCATTTTCAGTCTCATGTGAAGGGTGAAACAATTATATTTATAATTATATATAAATATATAATTATATATATTATATAACTATATATATTATATATAATATTATATATATAATATAATATAATATAATATAATATAATATAATATAATATAATATAATATAATATAATATAATATAATATAATATAATATATATATATTATAATTCATGCCATTAAAATCAGAAGCCAACTATTTCCTAATTACAATACACTATAAGCATTTCTTGGCCTATCAGATTTGCCACACCATGCTGTAAATGCTTTAAAGACAATCATCTAAAATCACCTTTTATGGATCCTATTTCAGTGCACCTTTCATATTTCTATTTCTCCAAAGTATCCAGTCTTATTTGCAAGGCCATCCTTTAAAACCTCTTTCTAGTTCCATTTCTCTCTCAACAATGTCTGTCCTACTCCCTGGCATTTCTAAGTCAGCATTCCTTGTCTCAAGATTTGCACACAGATGCACACTGCGTGATCCTTCTGTCAGGCTTTGAGAGTTTTCTGCAAATCCATTTCCAGTTTCCTCATCCCTGTTTCCCCTGGCAGACACTCCTCCGTGATGGCAAGAGGGAGAGCATCATGAGCACCCTGTTCATCGCCCCCTCCGACATTGAGAACGGGGAGAGCATCGTCTGCCGTGCCACCAACAAAGCCATTCCCAGCGGGAAGGAGACTTCAGTCACCATCGACATCCAGCGTGAGTACACAGCTGGCTGAGCCACCTCTGGCTGCCGGGACACCCCGGCCTCTCTGCCCTGTCCATCACTACCCCAGCGCTCGGACTCCAGGCAGGAGCAGCATGCTGCAACTGGGGGTACTGGGATACTGGAGTATCAACAGAGTGAAGTCACAGCTGGGAGATTCCATGACCCCTGAGCTCCCTGAGGAACACCCACACTACACAGATATCCTGCTCCCTGTGTGCCCATGGGTCTGAGCAAAGCTGCCATGCTCTGGGTGGCCCAGCTGTGCCCTGATCCAGCCCCTCAGGGGTCTTTGGAGCAGGGATGGATCCAAAGAATTTGGGTGAGCAAGCAATATTCTGGGCATGGCCAGTAGCAGAGATAAGTCCCATTAGGGTTTCTGATGCAGAATCCCGTGTTTCCAGACTTACAGGCAGTTCAGTGATACATTTTTTGTAAGACACCTGATCGGGACAGTGTCCCTTGCATGACACAAAGCCAGCAGCAGTCACCACCTCAGGGGACAGTGCTGTGGTCAGAGCTGTACTATTCACCCTTTCCTGTAAAGCCACAGAGCAAAATCTGCCATCTTCCAAAATTCACATTTCAGAGGCCTCTTCCCTCCTCCTCCACAGTAGCCGTTGCTCTTGGGCTCCCCTAACCCCTTCCAGCCACGCTCCATTCACACACCCAGTTCCTGCAGCTGTATTTACCCACGACTTGCAAAAGCAGGATGTTCAATATTAGCATGCCAGCTGCTTTCCAGAGACCAATTAAAACTGGCAAACTCAACTGAACAAACTCAAGCGCAGCAGAAAATTCACCATTTAAGACTTCCAGCTTTTGCTGCCGGAAGATTACCAGGCTCTTGGGTTGCTGGCTGCATGTCCTGACAGAACTGGGCAGATAAAATGAGATAATAGCTTGGGTTATTTCACAGCCAGCAAACAGCTACAATAGCCGGAGACACACTCACACAAACAACGTGGAGCAGAGACATCATTACACCAGGGCAGTACAGTGTGGGCTGGAGACGTGAGCTGAATCCCCGAGCCACATGGAATCTGCTCGGCAAAGAGAAAAACCCGATAAAGAACACCAGCTTTCACTCTGAGCTATTAAATACTCCATGCTGTGAATATAATAACAGTAATATCCTACCCAGCTATTAAAAGTATGTTGTTCTTAATGGTGGCTAATGAGGATATCAGTTTTCCAAAGCTGGATGGGTGATGGGATAGAAAAATAATAAGGTGGATTAACCAAGCTGAGGTGGGATACATTTTGACCTGGATGCAAAAGTCTGCTCTAGCTGCATCTAGTAATAGAATCACAGAATCATAAAGGTTGGAAAAGACCTCTGAGATCATCAAGTGCAACAATTAACCCAGCTTTAGCTCATGAGGTTTCACTCCCAGCCCTGTAGACAACCAGCTGCATTCACTTTGCAAAGAGCTAAAGGTGTTTTTCCTAAGCAAATATATGGACCACTCATTTTTCCCTAGGAAATTATTCTGAGAAGTCCTGCTCATGGGTCTTTTTCCAATATGTAGCAGAGAAGCAGCACCTCAGGGAGAGAAAGAAGTGGTTTCTGCAAGAATAAGGAAAAGCAGGCAGCAGCTGTTGGCTGGGGAGCTCTTCCCAGCCTGGCATGAGCTGCAGCATCCCCCTGGACCCTGCAATCTCCACCTCCAGCAGTGGAGGTGAATTCACACCATTGCAAACATCACCCAGCTGCGTGGTTTGAGAGATGGCCTTGCAAAAGAATCCCAGGGAACCAAAAATAATCCTTCCCAGGAAGCAGCAGCCTGGTAAATCACTCCTACTGCTTTCTTCCATTTTCTTCTGCAACTCAAAAGAACATCAGCAATGCTCACAGGCAGCAAAGGAACACGAGGATGGAGGTTATCCCCAGGAAGGGTGTGTGCATGGTGGGAGAGATTATCCTCTTTCAGCTGGTGGAATATTGAAGTTGGGGTCCCATCAGTCTCATGCCTGACCATGATAACATCAATGAAAGAGCTGAGTCATTAAACCCTCCCCTCCCAAATATATTAAAAAAGGGGGGTTGGCAGAAAGAGCTGAAAAAAAAACCCAGTGCAGGGTCTGTAATGGAAACACTAAGCAGCTCCAGCTGGAACATCTGTTCAATGTGATTTCCGTTCCACCAGCCACATCAAAGTCAGCCTCCTGTGAGTTATGCATCGAACATCACAAGTGGGATTAAAATCATCTTTAATAGTTTGATATGCCATAAACTATTTATACTGCAGGAGCCCAGTGGCTCCATGGAAATGCACACCCAGCGTGCCGGGGTGGGGAGGAGCAGGGTTATTGCTTATCCAAAGCCATTGCTCCAAGCCCCTGCACACATGTGCAGTTGCTCATTTTTACACCTTTTTTTGTCACAGCAAGAAGGGATTTGGCTGCATCTGTATGTTTTTGCAGGAGGTGGGAGGAGGAGAAGGAAAGTGGAGGGTGATGAGGGGCACATCGCTGTGCTGGAGGGTCTCCTGCTGCGTTTATCCTTGGAGCTTTGCAGTGTTTGATTCCCTTTTGTGCTTCCTGCTGGGAAGTGGAAAGCCCAGGGCTGAAGTGGCACCTTGGCCTTAGTGAAGAGGTTTGGAAGAGCTTGTCCACGGAGAGGGAAGTGCACCTGGCAGGGCAAGTGCCAGCACAGTGCCTGCAGCCCATGGGGCTCAGCCCACAGCCACTCCTGAGGTGCTGAGTGGGAACAGGGGGAGCTGGGGGGTTTGCCAAGGTGCCTCTGGGGCTGCAGGGCTGCTGAGGAGTGATGCTGGCCCTGGTACCCATCCCAGTGCCAGCCCCAGTGCAGCGTGGCACCTGCACCAGCACTCAGAGCCTCTCCTCCCCACCGCCTGTGGGCTGGCTCTATCTCATTCCATCATTCAAATTCATTACAAGAAGCCAGGCAGGAATTATAATTGCAACTGAGTGGAATTACATCCTGATGAGTTACAATTTGTGTCTTTTTTCCCTTTAAAATGCCCCGAAACACAGTGGCACACACAACCCACGCTATCCACAGCACCCACAATACTCGAAAGCCCAATCCCATTTCTGAAAGGCGAGATCAAAGACTTTAATTCATTTCCTTTGCTTTTTTTTTTTTTTTTTTTTTTTTATTTTTTTTTTTTTTTTTTTTTTTTTTTTTTTTTTGTCTTTTTAATTTTATTTTTTTTATTATTTTGAGTGCAGGAGGGAGCGGGCTCATTTTAATACAGAGGTTCCTCTCTTTAAATCGTAGGCACAGCTCCTAACCCATCAAACAATGGGGAAGCTACTAAAGAGAAGTGTGATTCATACTTAACAAAGGAAGGTGATTAGCTGTTGTTGTCTAACAATAGAGAAGTGTCAGGATGCCTGGGAATGAATTAGGAGCCCGCTATACATCTCTGGGCTGCTGTGTCAGGGAAGCTCATTTATATTCCCAACTGCGCCCATCTTTATTGTCATTTGAATTGCACATTTTAAAATGAAATTAGGGTAAATTGAAAATACCTATAATTTCCCCGTCATAATTTCCCATCAGGAAGGCAGGTGGCTTTGCACACAACAAAGCCAGTCTCTGGCTGGGTAAATACCACGGCATGGAGAAGAAGGAGGCTCTGGAGCACTGGGAGTCTGCCTTTCCTCTCCCCTCCCACCCAGCCAAGGTCACTGCCGAGGCACCCCGACCCCCGAGCTGCTGCCCTGGCACCTCGCAGGGCTGCAATACCCCAGACTGGCAGGAGTTCCCACGCCAGTGTGCCCAGCTGGAGCCCACACCTGGGCAAAGGCACTGAGCAGCAGCACCCTGAGCTGGGTGTGTGCGGGCAGAGGCCAGCAGGGAAACTTCCATCCCTGGAAAGCCAAGGACACTCCTGGGCTTGGCTGGAGCGTGGCTCCACCGCATCCCCTCAGGAACTCGAGCACTGGGGGTGTCCAGCCCTGCAGCCAGACCCCACACCCCGCCCAGGGCTCTGCGCTGCCCCAGCACACCTGAGGCCGAGGGAGGTCCCCTGGACCAGAAGGTACCACCTGAGGCAGGCACATTTCTCTCCCTCTCAGGATTTTTCATAGAGATGCACAGAGAGAAATGAAAGAGAAAACAATTTCTATTTCTGCTCCTTGTTTTTCCTATGTGGAATGTGTTTAGAGAATTGTTTACCTGGGGTGATGGCTTGGTTGGATTCTGGTGAGGATTGTTTGAGCCTGATGGCCAATCCAACCCAATCCAATCCAACCCAATCCAATCCAATCCAATCCAATCCAATCCAATCCAACCCAATCCAATCCAATCCAATCCAATCCAATCCAATCCAACCCAACCCAATCCAATCCAACCCAATCCAATCCAATCCAACCCAATCCAATCCAATCCAATACAACCCAGTCCAATCCAACCCAATCTAATCCAACCCAATCCAATCCAATCCAATCCAATCCAATCCAATCCAATCCAATCCAACCCAATCTAATCCAATCCAATCCAATCCAATCCAATCCAATCCAATCCAACCCACCTGTGGCTGGACTCTCAGAGAGGGTCACAAGTTGTGTTAAAGTTAGAATCAGAGAAAGTGGTATGTAGTTTTAGTATTCTCCTTTTATATAGTATATGAATGTATTTTAGCATAGTTATAATAAAGAAATCACTCAGCCTTCTGAATTGAGTCAGACATCAGCATTTCTTCCCATTGGGTTTGCCTACATTTACAATACCACACAGCTTCTCTGCCCCCCTGCCTGTCACCTGCAGCCTTTCCCCGTTTTCCAGCTGGGACAGACATTGCTGGAGCACCTGGAAGAGGAGAGAGGCAGCAGGGAAAGTTGAACACATAACATGTCCTGGTTTAGGATGTGTTTTTGCACACATGCAGCAGACTCCCACCTGAAGGGCAGGAGAGCCCCTCAGCTGGGTCAATGAGCCCCAACACTCTCTGCCATGGGACAGCTGGCTCTTCAGGCACCAAAAAAGCCCTCCACAAGGCCATTTCTTTCTGCTTTTTGCCCTC